ATTCGAGAAGATGAATACGAGCTGCTTTATTGAGAGTCTGAAGTTTGGTACGTTGTTGCTAGATGATGAGGCATTAGAACAGCGATACAAGAGGAATGCATACGAACTAAAAGAGCTAGCCTGAGGCTCAATGGAGTCAATTTTGTCACTCTACCGGTTTCACATTGTGTCTGAAAGAGAGACACCAAGCTTAGCGGTGGCTGGAAGATTGCCACCGAGGCGGTTGCCATCGCATCCAAAATTTTGTTGTCTTCGTTGTCCAAAACAGCAAGAGCATTTGTGGAGGAAACAAAATTTCGCTGCAAATTCCAATGGGGGAGGACCTGGTAATGCACGCTTCGATATTTGGTTAAAGACAGCATCCGGCAGTTTGCGAAGATAGACATCGTTTGTGGGAGTTGGGAACACAGGCCACAGCGAATCAACAGAATCTTCTGTTGCAAGAATAGAAAGAAGGTGTACCCATATCTTAGGGAGGAAAACATCGAAAATACTGTTGTTCCACTGCACCAAGAAACTGAAGCATCTGTTAAGCGTGGCAAACAAGATACGAGGGAGAACCGGCTTACTTTTCTCTTGATTCTGTAGTGTGTCCACGTTCATTCGGATTCTTTAATGATTGACGGTCAGGCATGAGAGCAAATATCCCGTGAGCATGGAGGGGGAAGCCTGTCGGAATAGGAAGAGGGAGGAGAGTGAAAAGTCGGCCTTCTCCAGTATCGAGCGGCTTGTCAAGAGGGTAGGCCACCGCAACATGAGAGAAAAGCTTTTCTTCATCCAATCGATTACCAACGGCAAATCCCAACTGGTCGGACATGATTCGCGTCGTTTCCGCAGCACTCAAAATTGAGTGGCAGATTCGCCATGAGTGTCTCAACACAGGACTATCTCGGACGTGGTAGTCAATGATGCAACGGAAAGAAACAAGCCGTTCGTCATTGCCGCGGGAAAATCCACGGTCTGTTGCGATGGCATGTATGTTTTCGACTGATGCTGTTGCCCAATGAATCACTCCGTCCTCATTGATCTCGTGAAGCTCAATGGTAGCCACGTTTTTCAAGAAGAGGAGGACCATCTTGAGCTCGTCACGAATGAAGTTTTCGAATAAGACGCGAATTGACTGGGGAGAAAAAGCTTCATCGCGGATGTGGTGGATGGCGCGCTGCTCTGAGTTCGAAGAGGAAGACGAATGATGGTTCCATCATAATAGGAAGTGGAAGCAGAGAAGTATGGATGGAATGCCTGAAACTGATCGCTATACTGAGGCGCTTCGGATAGTCGGATCTGCATGCCGCCAGGTTGAGCCCCAAATTCATAATGAGGATCAAAAATGGCTAGTTTATCGGCAGATAAAATATGCGGGTTGTCTGTGATCTGCAGGCGTATTAAATAGAGTCGAGGCAGTTTAAAGGAGAAAGAACAAACGTGGTAACATGATCTGAAACCCAAGCCGTACTTGCCAGTTTTACTGAAATGCGTGCAGCCAAGTGATAGGGAAATTACATATAAATATTATTGGCTTACTGGTCTTCAGAACGCTTGTTCGATCCGTGGATGGTTAGAAGCGCCTGCCAATCGCTCTCGGAAAAGACAGTGTCATTGAAACAGAGGAGGGCAGGGCCTTGCGTCTTGCTAAGAGTTGAATCGGCGAGGCTGATCGTCGGATGTTGTCTGGTATCCAAGACAAATTTCTTAACGCGCAAAGTCAGATGTTTGCACGAATAAAGACGACGCAAATCACCTGGTGTCTTGCGCCAGCATCATCCGAGTTCTGGAGTATTTCTCGTAGCAAGGCATTTCCAAAAGGATAATTGTCAAGGATTCCCTTAATCGCGGATGCCAAGTCGACGTATTCTCTGAAGCTCGTAGGCATTGAGATAAAGGCAGCAGGGTTCCGGCGCTTCGTCAACCGTAAATGAACGATGGTTTAAGTAAGCGTCTCGGTGCCATGAGGCTTTAAAGCTGTCCAAATCTAACGAATATTTAGACATTGAATTGTTTCTGCAGACCTTCTACCTGGCATAGATTCATATTGAGCAGTAGAACCAGGAAAGAGCTTTGGGGTGCCTTACCGACAATTTCGAAGGTCCTATCCAGCAGTGGTTTCGCAAGGGTAAAAGCCTTTTCCATTTATGTAGACAGTAAAAACGCAGGAATGCAAGGCTGTTATTTCATGCCCATGGAGGTTAGTTGGAAAGTCGTTCGGGAACAATGCTAGCACGTGCCCGAAAATGGTCTTGCGCGTTACATTGTATTTACATGGCAGCCCTCCTTCAACCGCGGTCAGGCATGAGTTCGATGTTCTCTTCTCGAAAGTAAAAGCAGTCGGATCCACTTGTGTGGGTGAAGATGAAGGACCTTGTTATTTCAAGCTGACTCCAATCTTGAGGTTGCCTCTTGGACGATTGCAACGGTTGTAATTTCATGCGAAGCAACGACTGTCCAAGTGTTGCATTTGGCAATCACATCCATCTATAGTTTATAGAACAGCTGCACTTTCTCTAACGTCTCCAAGCCCGGTGATATTCCTTTTGGAAGGATGTAGTTCTATTTTTCATAGGAAACGAACAACACACAGACAGAACTCAATAATGCAAGCCAAGAAAGTCTTGAAGGAAGCAGGAACCGATGAGAAAATCAGGAAATCGGGTGTCGTCGCCGGACTAGCGAAATGCTATCGGCACAAATACCAAGCAAAAGGGATGTCAAAACATCCAGAGTCCTATATCAACTACAAACAACAATGAATGTAGACACCACCTAAAAACGACAAGGAAGGGTTCATGGCCGTTTTTCTTGGGTTTCTTTTTCCTCTCGTCTCCGCTTCACGTCGAAGTTGTATACTCTTGCAGTGTTCACCTAAAAGACAGTCAAGTTCCGGTATTTTGGGAAGTCCACGGTCGTGCATACCTCCAAAACCGTGATCTGCTCCCTGAGCCATTCCATATCTTCTTGCAGGTTGCCCAGATTTTCCTCTTGGGAAATGTGAGGGAATGAAGTCAAGAACCAAATAATGCACTACCTGCTGCCGAAAGTTTTTCTTTCAGAAGTGTTAAGGCCTGTGGTAGAGGATAGGAAAGCATAACATTCGCCTAGAACGATTTTAGAACTTGCTGTAAGGAAAAACCGAGAATAAACAAACCCCTAGCCATAAGTAAACCTCGTCCGTATCATCTAATGTGGCTTCAGCATAAAGCGTATCATTGAGCTCGAATGTAGTGGTTAGAGGTTGGTTCGCAGAGTCATCGTCTTCATCTTCGAGATCATCCGAATCCTCTTCTTTTAACTTGCCCTTCTAATGAAGTTTGTATGAAATTCTGATCGTATCTGCTGAAAATACGAAAAACCAACTGCATTTCTCCGGTCAAATAGCACCTGAACCATGTCTAAGGTTTTGCGGATGTCTGGAATCTTTTGTTCCAAACCTGCGCGCCGTGTTGAGAGTGAGGACTCCATATATTTGTATTTCCTGATATTTGTATTTGGGATACCTTTCAAAGAAGAATACAAGAAAATAACGGACGCGAGAGCATCGTTGATGCCAGTCAAAGCCGCCTCCGTTGATTCATGTTTTAAGACAAATGCAGCGGGGTCATCCTGCCAAGCTCATTAGATTATTAAAATCACGCGTGACATGGGGTGAATAGCTACGATGAACGGCGCTTTGGGTATTCCACGCGGATTCTTGGGGGCGGACGAGAGGAGATCAGTTGACATGAGAGGAAGTGTTAAGTAGGAGATTGAGAAATTGTGACCTGTGAGTGGGTCACAGCGTGGAAGACCCTTGACTCTAACCACCACCTTTGTGCACCATGTCTACCGCTCACAGACCGACATGGGACCCTGCACAAGCACGAGACACGAAAGCTGGCTCTCGCCAGTTCTCGACGCGAGATATGCCGTCTCATACCAAGCTCAAGTTCCGCCAAGTTGGCCAAACGTCAAGCTCGGAGGTTCAGAAACGTGATCTCAAGTACGAGCTTCTGTTAGCGGAACATGAAGCGAAAAATAAGAAACGAAAAGCAGAAGGAATGCCTGAAATAGAATTTGAGTACAAGCAACCGGCTGGCGCTATTGAGAGTGGGAATGGCGAAGGAGAGGATACTGCGAACAAGCGTCGGAAGATTCTTGAGGAAGTTGGAGATCTAGATAAAGACGATGACGACGAAGATGCACCAGACGTTGAAGATTCAAAGGATAAAGACAAGGCTATGGACAGTGATGAGGAAGACAGGTTCGAATTGTGAAGTATCCAACACACTCATTGTTCTAACACCCCTTGTTGTGCAGCGACGAAGATTCGGACGAGGATGACACCGACGAACTCCTCCGCGAACTGGAAAAGATCAAACGTGAACGAGCTGAGGAAAAAGCGAAGCAAGAAGCCTCTCAGAATGCTGAACGGGAGGCCGAAATTGCTACCAAAAATCCTCTCCTTAATCTCGCAGCTGCACTTGGTCAGGAGACTCCTCGAAGTGGCGTCAATACTACTGTGCCTGGCACATTTTCCGTTAAACGACGATGGGATGACGGTTAGTCACTTAACTTCCCTGTTATGGCCAAAAGGATGGACTAAACCTAATACATTCCTTTTAGACCTCATCTTCAAAAACCAAGCCATGTCTTCGAGGGATAAGGGTCAGGGTCAATTCGTCAATGATCTCTTACGAACAGAGTTTCACAAGAAGTTCATGGCCAAGTTCATCAAGGTACTCTTCTTGCTGCGTTTCTTCATTGTCCGCTGACCCACTTTATCCAGTAGTGGTATATGTATATGTTCAAATGTTGCTGCTTCGTCTATCTTACTTTGTCAGCGCTGTATTGTTTGCATGCTTCTCTTAAGTCTTCCTGGAGGTTCCGATACCCTACCCTTGTCCTTTTCTTGGAGCTTGAATTTAGATCTTGAAGAGTTTGCACCGTGGAATACCATCAACTGGTTCCATCGCTGCTATACAGAATTTCCCCTTACAATGGCACTACAGACTCTCTTTATCGTTGATCCGGGGATAGCTCAGTTGGAAGAGCATCAGACTGTAACGGATAACATATCTGAGGGTCGCAAGTTCGATCCTTGCTCACCGGATAATTTTTTTTTTGTGATTTTACGTCTTTCTAGAGATGTCCATTCAACAGGGGCGACACGTGCTTCAAGAACCTCCAACTACACTATATTCAAATATTTCCAGAGACGTATTATCGACATGGTGAAGGGCGAGTGCAAGTTCAGTTGTGCAACCCGCCTATGTTTTGGAATTGACACAAAATCGAACAATAGATGTTGATGCGACCCTGATTCGTGGGGGCGGAACCGTATAAACCTTGAAGGAAAGCGTGATCACGCAGTTAGTCTTTCCCCCCCTTTCTGACAAACCACCATGTCGTCGAAGGACCAAGAGCCCAAGAAACCTGTGCTACCAAGACATCCTTGACGAAGGCTCCGTTGACCCTGTCTACCATGCGAAAGCTCGAATTCTCAACGAAGCTCTGCAGGAAATTGGGATGGGCCGATACCAGGTTAGGCAAATAGCTTACATAAGCTCTTTTTTTTTTACACCTTGGCACTGACCAATCACTGTATAGCGATACCTGTTCATTGTTGCCGGGTTTGGATGGTTTGCAGACAGTGTCTGGCCTGTAAGCATGAAATTCATTCCTTAACGTCTTATTCTTGATCATTGAGACGATATTTCAGTTCATCACGGGCCTCATCCTCAACCCTGTCATTCTGGAGTTCCAATTCAATAGTCCATACTTGTCTCTTGCTGCCAATATTGGATTGCTCGTGGGCGCTATATTTTGGTCTTTTACCACCGATATTTGGGGAAGAAGGTATGTATCGTAGCCTTTCATTTCCCACGCCCTTCCTTTCCTCATCTCTACTAGGTGGAATTTTAACTTGACCCTTCTTCTCGCCGGTATATTTGGGATAGCTGCCGGAGGAAGTAATAGCTTTGTTACTCTCGCGTCGCTTATCGCTATTGTCGGAGCAGGTGTAGGTGGAAACATACCCATCGACACAGCAGTCTTTTTGGGCAAGTCCTTTTTTCTTTCTTTGTAAGTCTCTAAGCGTTACACTCAACTTGTCCCCTAGATATTGTACCTGGTACCCACCAGTATCTGCTCACTGTCATGTCTGTTTTTTGGTCCCTAGGACAGGTCTTCGTCAGCATGGTACTTTCTCTCCTGTTTCATTTAAACGCCTATAATAGCCTAAACCTTCATTCAGATAGCTTGGCCACTTATTTCCAACTTTACATGTTCAGCAAAAGAGAGCTGTACAAAGAGCGAGAACATGGGTTGGCGGTATCTGTTATTCACTCTTGGGGGTGTCACTCTCATCCTGTGGGGGATCCGCTTTTTCTTGTTCGATCTACTAGAAAGCCCGCGGTTTCTTGTTGGCATAGGAAATGACGAGGCTGCTGTCAATGTCATTAACAAAGTCGCTCAGTACAACCGCAGCGAGGTTGTCCTCACGGTAAACGAGCTCAACAAAGCCGGAGATGCTGCTGGCGATGGTACTCAACGAAGGCGAGATTTCCTGAGCAAGAGCAGTGCATTTGGACTCCAAAATGTTACGGCACTATTCTCTACACCAAAAATGGCATTTTCGACTTCATTGCTTATGTTCATTTGGGGAATCATTGGACTTGGTAGCACACTCTATAACTCGTTCGTTCACCATTTAGTGCGCAGTCCTTTGCCTTCAATTCTTTGCCTTAGCTTCCTGCCCTACTTTCTCTCCACACGCGGAGCAGCTTATGGCGATGGCTCCCTCTACATCACATACCGAAATGTCAGGTCTTTATTGTATCGTCACGCGCAAGAATATACACCCTGATATCTTAATAGCAAGCCATTCTGAGTGCTATCGGCGTTCCAGGCGCTTTTATTGCAGGGTACGCCGTCCAACTCCCGTACATTGGCCGACGTGGTACCCTTGCGCTTTCATGCGGCGAGTGGCTGTATATTTTCTACCTTGGTTCACTATTCAACGACAGTTTGTGGTATTTCTAGGGCTGACGGGTGCGTTTCTGTACGCGACTACCACAGCAAGAACCAGTAATGCGCTGTTAGGCTGGAACTGTGGATACGTCATGTTCAGCGACGTGCATCTCTTTCTTCTATTCTTTATAAAGATCATGCTGACATTCTGTTGCAGATTTTATATGGTGTTCTGTATAGCTTCAGCTCTGAAATTTTTCCTGGCCAACTGAGAGGAACTGGAAATGGTCTTGTTCATGGAACAAACAGGATATTTGGCGTAATTGTATGCTCAGTTTTCTTTAATTTTTCAGCATGATCTCATTTGATTCGGCAGGCGCCTGTCATAGCATTGTATGCAGACCTTTCTACACCAGTCCCCGTGTATGTGTCAGGTGCATTGGTCATATTTGCTGGCTTGCTGGTATTCCTTTTGCCCTACGAGCCTCTGGGGAGAGCCTCAATATGACTGATTGTTCGTCTTCTATCGATATTTCTTTCCGGCTGTTCGGTTGTCTTCTATGAGATATGTCAATGATAATGCAGCGCGAAGGCTTTATAAGGGCTTGCTTTGATACCATCCCAGCAACCTGCAACTAGAACAATGGTTTATTTTCATGCACATTTAACCTCGACGTACTCCTCAATATCGTAGAGGATAATATATCGCTTCGGATAATATTCATATCATCATTGTTGTACATCATAAGCGTCACAGATTTCGTTTGTAGTTAGATCATACCCTCTTGCTAAGCTGCTGCAATTGCACATAGCTGTAATAGTCTCCCTTCTTTGCCAGAAGCTCTTCGTGCGTGCCCCACTCGGATGCCCGACCCTCTTTGATGAAATAAATCCTATCTGCATTCTGAATCGTTGACAAGCGATGTGCAATTGCGATCGTAGTTCGACCTTTGGCGGCTTGATCAAGTGCAGCCTGAACGACTTTCTCAGAAGTGGAATCTAGAGCAGAGGTTCTTCAGGGAGCATTGGATGTGTCAGCAGTCACCTTTTTTAGATCAAATACTCGAGAGACTCACGCTTCGTCGAGTAAAAGTACTTTCGGGTTTCGTAAAAGAGCTCGAGCAATCGCTATGCGCTGTTTTTGGCCACCAGAGAGTTGAGAACCTTTTCCTCCAACCTGAGTGTCGAACCGATCGGGGAGACTGTTGATGAAATCCAAAATGTTCGCGTTCCTGCAAGCCTCTTCTATTTCTTCTTGGGTCACTTCGCTCTCTGGTTTATTTGCACCAAGCATGACATTATATTTCACCGTCCCTGGGGAAGCATGAGGGGACAAAGTTTTAGCAGGCGTAATCACTCACCAGAATAAAGAGTGGGTTCCTGCGAAACCAAGGAGATCTGGCTGCGGAACGACTCTACGTTAAGGCTGGAAAGAGGCTCATCGTCAAGGAGCACAACTCCCGCCAGAGGATCATAGAAACGCTTAGAAAGACTGTCATTGAGCGATTTGCTTGGCCCGCAATACATAATACAACATACCTCAATTAGCTGGATGCTGTATAATGAATTAGAACCAATAGGCAGCCGATGAGAATAACATTCACATACCTCGTCGATTTCCCGCAACCGGAAGCCCCAACAAGGGCAACGAAAGTTCCGGGCTGAACTTCGAGGTTGAGGCCGCTCAAGACTCGAACGCTCGGTCGAGTTGGATACCTGTGAGTGTTACACGATGATTTTGTCAGAATAGTAGAATGAGCATACCTGAAGTGGACATCTCTAAAAGTGATTTTCCCTTGACTCGTCTTAGTGTTGACTTGCTTGCCGTCGGGTGACTGGGCATCGATCTCAGGCATCGAGTCAAAGATCTCGACGAGAGATCTAGCAGCTGCACCAGCCTCCGACATGTCAGCAGAGAAATTGAACAGATTACCTACCGAAGCAGATTAGGAAGTCGAACGAGAAAATGCTTTGAAGTACTGACCGGCTTGAATAGCGGCGAAAGTGGTAGACATCAGGCCAACAAAAAATTGAGTGACAGAGATATCAAGACTAGCAACTAGTCTCGAGCCGAACCAAAAAACGAGGGAGATGACCCAAAAGGAGATAGCCTGGGCAAAAGCGAACATCATGTTGGCCCATACATTTGTTTTATTTGTTCGTTGAAGTGGGACCTCAAGGACCTTGCTGTAGACGTCAACACAATCTTTCTCGCGGGTCAGGGCGGCAACAGTTCGGATAGCGCCTGCAGCTTCACATGCCACCTGAGCAGAATACTAATGAAGGTGATCAATATGGAGGTAAGCAGTCAAAAGTGAAAATGATACGAACTTCATGCTCCCTCTTGTTCCGCTTGTCCTTGAGAACTACAACCTGCAATCGAATCATGCCACAAAATATTACAAGTGGCGTGCAAGCTGAAAGCGGTTTCAGCATATCTGTTGCGCGAGTAATAATAGTAAATAGCGTCTACCTATGCCGACTAAACCAATTTTCCAAGTATACGAGAGACCAATAATGTATCCGATCACAAGCGTCGACACCTAGGTTCCATGTTAGCAATTGGGCTTGATGAATGATAAAACTCGCACAGCTTGAGTCATTGTGCCCATAATCATGCTGAGAAGGATTAGCATTGCAAGTCAGTCAAGAGAACGGCGCCATACCCTGCCAGTCCATTGACCTTTTGAGGATCATCGCTAAGCATTGAAACCAATGCTCCGGTCTACAAGGCTGGTCAATAGAATCTTGGTAACAAGTTTAAGTTGAGCATACGCTATGCTTGGCCTCGTCGAAGAAGGCAATGTCTTGTCGGAGGATCGAACTGAACAAACGCTGTCGAAGCAAAGCCATAAGATTCACGGCTCCCAGAACGAATCCTAGGTTTTGGATAAACATTGCAATAAGAACAACGATTCCGATGATGAATAGCCAGAGAGCATTTCGGTCGCCTTGCGAACGTTTGTCGGAATCCTTGATGGCGGAAAAGCCTTGAATCGCTTGCGCTGTTTAAATTGGTAAGAATAGAAAGCGATAACGGTAAAAATAGCCTACAGAAAACGATGCCGTATACAGGAAAGACCGCTCCGGTGACTTAAAGCGGACGTGAATGAGCAGAATGGATGAAAAGATGGAGCGTAC